AAAGCAGTCAGAAAAAAGACAGATGAGGAAAGGAACAACGGAATCACAAAAGTATTCTCCACAGCAACAAAACAGATAACAAATAATGTTTTCAAGTGTTTGCAAAATTTTTATTGGGTTGTCAGAAAAGTCATGACACATTTTTGCAACGAAAAACATAGAAAAAATACGACTTTTCCAACAACCTAATATCCTAGAATTATGCTTATCAGGACACTCAGGAATAAGGACAAAATACAGACAATTGTAGGTAAAGAAAAGCTGAGGACATTTTTCACCACAAGATTTGCTCTAAACTAGTGGTTTTCAACTAGGGACAATTTTGCCCCCTAGGGGATATTTAGACAATTTTTATTGTCGCTATTGGAGATGCTACTGGCACCAGGTGAATAGAGACAAGGGATGCCCTTAAACATCCTACAATGCACTGGACAGTTTTCCCACAATAAATAATTATTAGATCTGAAATTTCATAGTGCTGAGTTTGAGAAACCCTCCTCAAAGGAATTCTAAAGAATGTACCTCAAGTAAAAAGAAAATGATCCCAGAAAACTAGTACTCTGAAGTGCAACAAACTATTGAACAAATGAAAGGGTAAACATGGCCTTTGACCCAAGTCAATGTTGTATCTTTGGTATAACTTCAGGTGTCATATTTGTTGAGTAAAAAAAAAAATATTGACTACTGGAAATATTAGACAATAATATTATGTAAGTCCCCAGGAGAGACATGGAACTGAAGTGTTTGAAAGTCTTTGTATTGTTTGGGAGGATGACAAGCTATTGTTTAACTCAATAGTTTTTTTTAAGTAAAATATGTGGTAAAATTTCAAGGATAATTGCTAAAAGAATAGAAATAGAGTGGAAACTCCAAAAGAGTTAGAGAAAAAATGGATTAAGGGGGAAAAAACAACCTAAAAAAGCCCAGAGAGAAAAAATGAGAATGAATCAGAGAAAGGACAAAGAAATAAAAAGAAGGTAGAATCTAGTCCAAATATATCAATCGCTAAGGTTGATGGACTAAACTTTACAATTAAAAAGACAGATTGTCAGATTTTTTCAAAACCTGTTTACAAGAGATCTACCTAAAACAAAAGGACATTTAACCAAAAGACAGCTGGTATAGTTTCCTTCTGTTGTCTTGGGATTTATTCTGCTGTCTTTGTACAGTAGCTTCCTAAAATAGGTATGTAGCTCATACAATTTTTATTTTTACTATTCTAATATAAAAGTTTAAGGCAATAACTTTTCTTTGAAGTGCTACTTTTGCTGGCTCCTACAAGTTTCAATAGGTGGTGTTTTCATTGTCATTCAGATTTTTAAGTATTTTAATCTTTGATCCTTGAGTTTAGCAGTGTTGTTTTTTTTTCTAAATTTGCAAGGGTTTTAAAATTTATCTTTTTATAATTAAATTCTTACTTGTTTTTATAGATCAAATTCATGGACCTCTGAAATTTGTTCAGTCTTTTAAGATCTACATAACTTTTTATAAATTTTCCTTGTATGTTTCCATGGATGCAGAACATTATGTCCATTAGGTGAAGGTTATTCGGTGCATTATTCAAATCTTTTAACCCTTGCTTATTTTGTCTGCTTTATCTATCAACTATTGAGAGAAATATGTTAAAAATCTCCATGTGTGATAGTAAATTTAACAGTTTCTCACTANAGGAGATTTGACTTTGAGTGGTGAACACACAATGCAGTATACAGATGATCTAGAATTGTACACTTGAAACCTATATAATTTTATTAATCAATGTCACCCCCAATATAATAAAATTTTTTAAAAGTAGGTATTATCAATCATTTTATTTTTACCTAATTGGTGAAAAATGTCATATTTAGTTTGTACTTTATTTATAAGTGAGGTGAAGTACTTTTAAATATATTAACAGTCATTGTGAGTGTGTATCTTCTGATTTGAGTCTTATTTTGATTTGTACATTGCCGAACTTTTAGCTATTTGAATATGTGCAAAGCGTCTGTGGAAAAATATAAGCTATCAAAAAATCTGAAGTAGGCAAAGTACTTGACTTGTTTGCTTTTATTAAAGGTTCAGAGCACTAATTAAAGAAACTAGGATACTCCTTTTCTGCTCTTTCAAGGTTAAGGACATAAGTTTCTGGTCTTCTCATTCCTTTGAGGGAGTTTACATCCTGGAACAGTATGTAACATCTGAAGTATTAAGTAAATATTTGTTAAGAAAATGGTTTGACATAAGCATATAACTAGAAATCTGATCACCAGGGTTCTAGCCTCATGGTATTGGGCTGTCACTATCCTCTGTTTTATATTTTTATATTGGATAGTTTATTTAAACTGTTTAAAATTAGTCTTCTGAATATAAAAATTTCATATATGGCTCAGGAATGGTTAAAATTTCATGAGAAGATTTTGCCATACCATGCAAAAGTATATTTTCCCCTAAACTATTAGGTTGTTTGTGTCTCTGCTACATGCCTGACAGGTAGAGAAACTTCAGAGGAGTTCATCTGACCAGGAACATGTGTGTAATGGAGGCAGGGAAGGACTTAGCTAATGAAACATACAGTTGGGGAGGTGGTACTGTTCCAGTGTTACTAAGCTGCATTTTGTTTCCAATTAAGCACTTGTAGGAAAAGATAGCAGATGAATTGTAGGCAAAAAGATATCATATGTAATTACAAAGGAAAGGTTCTCTTAGTCAGTATTAGCCAAAAATCCTAATAGTATTTGCAAAAAAACTACTCCAGATATTAATTTCATTTAGCCACCTACAGTTGCATTCAATTTTAAACAAACCTGGGAATTTATCCAGAGTCTTCTGGCCAGATCCTCAGGTAAGTTCATCTGCTATTCTGGTTTCTCTCTCTTAGGTTCATTGGGTCAGATTATACTCTTTTTTTTCTCTCATGCTCTAATAACGACCATCTTCTGTCTCCCATCTTAAGTATCTTTGTTTTAACTACAACCTTAAAATCCTTAAAAAGACTGATTTATTTTTTTAAAGTTTGCAAACGAGTTAAAGATGATCTTTTGTTTTATTTTCTAATTATAGTTCCTCAGAAAAGGCATTGATAGCTTGAATTAAAATCTCATCAGCTGTCTGATAAAAAAATATTCATGTAGGATAATTTGGCTTAGTAGGTTAAAAACTGGTTCAGTTGCCTTGCCTGCTGCATGGAATTTATAATAGCATTTTACAAACCTTCTAAATGTTTTTCTTGTCAAAAGGGTACAGCTATTTTAATGTACCTATTGTTCCAACTGACTCATCAGATCTCTTGCAAAACTCAGGGTCGGGCTGAGGAAATGTATGAGAGGATGAAACTGCTATTGTGATAAAGAATCTAGCTGTACGCTTATGATTTATTATCTCTCCTCTCTCTCTCTCTCTTTCTCTCTCTCTGTCTCTTTCTCTCTGTATGTGTGTATGCATAATTTTCAGTTTAAAAATTTTTAGAAAGCAACCAAGGAAATTAGCAGTGGGCCTTGTCATTTTAACAAGTTTTACCAAACATTGAAGGAAAAATAATTTCAGTCTTCTACAATTTCTCTCAAGGAATAGAAAAACAAGTAAACACTCCCCAAGTCAGTTGGAGGCTTGCATAACCTTGATACCAAAACTTAACAATGACAATGAGTAAAGTATAGGCTAGTTTTACTTATGAACACAGATACAAATATCCTGAACAAAATATTTGCGATCTGAATCAAGCAATATATTTAAAAAATTGCCTCTGTAACCAAGTTGGGTGTCTGCTAGAAAGACATGGTTGATTTACTATTAAAAAACAATTTATGTAATTCAGTATAATAACTGATTAAAGGAGGAACATATGCAATCATCTTAATAGATGTAGAAAAAGCATTTGATTTGAAGCATATCCAATATTTAAGTTCATGAGTTCATAATGATACAAAAACTGGTCACCTGTGAAATATTTTTTTTTAATTTTTTTTTTATTGGGGAATTGGGGGGATGGGAACAGCGCTGGGGAATTGGGGGAAGGGGAACAGACAAGTTGCTGTCGAGGACGTTGCTTCACTGGCCCAAGTTGGCACCATCATTGCGCTCTTCCCGGGTGAGGCAGATCAGTCGCCNGCTGTTGTTCACCATCTTAGCTGTAGAGGGCAGTGCCACTGGCCCGTGTGGGATCCGAACCAGGGTCCTGCTGCTCCGAGCTCCTGCTCCCAAGCCAACTCCTAACCAACAAGCCACTTGGCCAGCCCCTAATTTACTTTTTATTGTAGTAAAATATATATAACACAAGATCTATCTATCCTTTTTAACCATTTTTAAAAGCAATGGTATTAATTACATTCACAATGTTGTGCAATCATTACCACTATCTATTTCCAAAATTTCTCATCACCCCAAACAGAAATTCTGTACTCATTAAAAAATAACATCCTATTTTCAACTCCCCTACCCAGCCCCTGATAACTTCTAATCTACTTTCTGTCTCTATAAATTTGCCTTTTCCAGATATTTCATATAAATAGAATCATAAAATATTTGTTCTGTATCCAGCTTATTTCATTTAGCTTAATATTTTCAAGTTTCATCCATGTTGTAGCATTTATCAGAACTTCATTCCTTTTTTATGACTGAAAATAACCCCTTGTAAGTGTATACCATGTTTTGTTTTATCTGTTCATCTTTTGAAGGACACTTGGATTGTTTCCACATTTTGGCTATTGTGAATAATGCTGCTATAAACATTGTCATACAAGTATCTGTTTTGGTCCCTGTTTTCATTTCTTTTGGATATATACCCAGGAGTGGAATTGCTGGGCTGCGTGGTAATTTTATTGTTTAACTTTTCAGGGAAGGAATATGATTATTTTTTATAATAGTTCATTATATTTTTATTATCCTTTCATTAATGTTTCCTGAGCACTACAAAAAAATTTTTTTTGCTTATTTCCTTAGTTGACTTTTGTTGCTGATTTTTAAGAAATTATTTGCTTTGGTCATTCATTTTTTTCTTTTCTTTTCAATTGTTTGTTTTTCAGACCCGAGTCAGAACTCCATCACAGGGGAACACAGCCAGCTGTTAGGTATAGTATTATTGTGGGGATTGACTCTCTAAAGTTCCCCACTTATACCAGCAGACAGTACTCCTTCTCTAATTCTATTTTCTATCTCCTCCTCTTCTACTTTTCACTCAACTTTTTTTGCTGCTGGTTCTATTCTCAACTTGGTAAGTTTTAGAAAACTACTTCTGCAATTGATTGCTAAGACTCAATTTAGTTACATTAAAAATAATTTTAATATGAGTACCAAATCATCATGTTGTACATTTGAAACTAATAATGTTGTTTGTCAGTTATACCTCAAAAAAGAAAAAAAGTAATTTTACATGGTTTGTGGTTTTCAAAAAAATCGTAAGGCTTAGAGCTTTTTTACATAATTTTGAAAAGAAGACATAATACTCTATAATACCTTGGGCTTTGCAGCTACTTTTCCTTTTCTATTATTTTTCTTGGTCTTATACTCACTTTCATTTTAATTACAGAAAGTACTTTATAAATAATAAGGCCTTAAGTGAACCATAGAAATTAATATTCCGATTCTTATCTGTGAAATAAGTTATGGAAATGAATTGATTTTCTTTAGGCGTCACTTATTTAAACTGCAGTAAGCTTGTAATTTGGCAAGAATTTCATGAAATCTCAGAACTGATAAATTTTGAAATATAAAAATAAAAGATACTTAGGTGAGGAATTCAGATAATAAAAAAGTATATACTATAAAGAAAGTAAAAGCCCTCCAGAGCATCTTCTCCCCACCACCTCACCTCTACTCCCCTGAGGTACTATTGACCCTTTCTTGGGAATTCTTCTAGAAATTTTTAATTATACATTTTCATATTACATATGACTTTTTTTCCCCCTTTTTCTGTCCATTGAAATATATTATACAACTGTTCTGTGACTTCCTTTATTATACTTAACACTATCTTGGACATCTTATATCAGCACATAAAGATCTTCCTGATTTCTTTGTGGTAGAGTAGTAATCCGTTGTATTCCTATACTACAATTTTACTCAGCCACTTCCCTATTCACGGGCATTTAAGTTATTTATAGGTGTTTTACTGTTATAAATTATGTTGCAGTGAACATCTTGTACATCCATCCTCGCATTCTCATTGCCAGTATATTGGTAGAATAAATTCCTAACTGTAAAATTTCTTGCTCAAAGGATATGTCCATTTTCAAAAAGATACATAAATTTAAATTCCTACCAATAAGGAGTATGGAGGCATACTCAGCTCCCTGTCACAAAAGTAGGTATTATCCAAATGGGAAGGAAGAAGTCAAATTGTCACTTTTTGCAGATGACATTATTCTTTATTTAGAAAACCCCAAAGACTCCACCAAAAAACTATTAGAAACAATAAACAAATACAGTAAAGTTGCAGGATACAAAATCAATGTACAAAAATCCATAGCATTCCTATATATAGTAATACTAACAATGAAATTTCAGAAAAAGAAATAAAAGAACAATTTCTTTTCCAATTGCAACAAAAAGAATAAACTACCTGGGAATAAATTTAACAAAGGAAGTAAAGGGCCTATACAGTGAAAACCACACGACATTATTTAAAAAATTGAAGAAGACACAAAGAAATGGAAAGATATTCCATTTTCATGGACTGGAAGAATCAGCATAGTTGAAATGGCCATATTACAGATTAAATGCAGTCCCCATCAAAATCCCAATGGCATTTTTAAAAGAAATAGAACAAAAAAATCATCAGATTTGTATAGAAGCAGAAAAGACCCTGAATAGCCAAAGCAATCTTGAGAAAAAAAGAACAAAGCTGGAAGGAAGTATCATGCTCCCTGAATTTAAGTTACTCGTATGCTACAAAGCAACAATAATCAAAACAGTCTAGTATTGGTAGAAAAACAGACACACACACCAATGGAACAGAATTGAGAGCCCAGAAAAAAACCCATATGTGAATGGGTGAATAATTTTCAAATAAGGAGCCCAAAACATATAATGGAGAAAAGAAATCCTCCACAATAAATAGTGCTGGGAAAATTGGAAAGCCACATGTAAAACTAGACTATTTGTCACCATACACCAAAATTAATTCAAAATGGATCAAAGTCCTAAATATAATACCTGAAACAATAAAATGTATAGAAGGAAACATAGGTACTAAACTTATGGACCTTGGATTTAGAAATGGTTTTATAAACTTGACTTCAAAGGCAAGGGAAATAAAAGCAAAAATAAATGAATGGGACTGTATCAAACTATAAAGCTTCTTAACAGCAAAAGAAACCATCAACAAAACAAACAGGCAACCGACCCAATGGGAGAAGATATTTGCAAACAATACCTACAATAAGGGGCTAATTTCCAAAATATATAAAGCATCCATAAAACTCAACACCAGAAAACAAACAGTCCAGTTAAAAATTGTGCAGAGGACCTGAACAGACACTTCTCCAAAGAAGATAAACAAATGGCCAACAGATACATAAAAAGATGCTCAACTTCACTAGCTATCAGGGAAATGCAAATCAAAACCACAGTGAGATCACCTCACACCTGTTAGAATGGCTATTATCAACCATACAAATAATAACAAGTGTTGGAGAGGCTGTGGAGAAAAGGAACCCTCATACAGTGCCGGTGGGAATGCAAATTGGTGTAGCCACAATGGAAATCAGTATGGAGGTTCCTCAAAAAAATAGAGAATAGAATTACCATGTGATCCAGCAATCCCTCTTCTGGATATATCTACCTGAAATTTAAAAAAAACATTTATTCATAAAGCTATACGTACCTCTATGTTCATTGCAGTATTATTCACAGTGGTCAAGAAATGGAAACAAAGTGTCCTTCCATAGGTAATTGGATAAAGAAGATGTACTTATACACAATGGAATATTACTCAGCCATAAGAAAAGATGAAATACTGCCATTTGCGATAACATGGATGGATCTTGAGATGATCATGCTAAGTGAAATAAGTCAGAAAAGGACAAGAACCATATGACTTCTCTCATATTTGGGATATACAGCAGAAAGCAACAAATGAACNGGGGGTTAATATCCATCTTATCAAATAAGTAAAGATTGCTCCCCATCCCTTTAATTATATTAAATGAAAAACAAAAGTTTAAGTTGAACTTGTTGTGAACTACACAAAAGACTTATTTGTACTCATCTCAAAATAGGGTGTTCAAAGGATGAATCCTGGCTGGACTTAAGAAGGTGTATATGTCATTTATGCCCAGCTCAGAAGGCAAGGAAGTATACAGAAGGACCTGGTTCTTTTTAAGAAAAAAAGTCATTTATATTCCCACCTCTATAATCACACCTACTCTGCCTGAGTAATCTGAGATGCTTTTCCATTTTTATTCATAGCTACATTCCCTGACAATTCCAGATAACTTGTTTTAGGCTACTGTACTTTGTTTTAGAACAAGAAAGTTAGAATTACAGAGCACTGAGAAGCATGAACATAGGTTCTGAAGACATCAAGACTATATCTCTAACCTTTCTCTTTTGCAGTAATGTGGTGTGTCTTTGCCACTTATTAACCCGAGTATTTGTCTTCTCAGCTATAAATATTAAGATCCAACACTTTCAACTTTGTTCTGTCCTAGCTGACCTGAGCAACAAAGGCATTCCCATTCATGACAGACAGTAGCTGGGAATCAAAGTCTTGCGAAGGGGTATCGGTATGGTTTTAGGGAGAAAAATAGAAAATGCCAATAACCCTTCTCCAGCTTTTCTTTTAGAATCACTAGAGTAGATCTAGATGATGACCAAAGTTCTTCTGGCTCTAAAATTCTGTTTCTTTATCTACTCTTCCTTCTATACTATTATACACCTGCTTCTCTTTAATGATGGGGCCCGAATTTCCCTCTTCCCCAAGGCAGATGGTATGGGGAGACAGGGAGAGGGAGAACATCTATTATCTTCACTTACTGCGCAACTATTATTCCTACTTCGTGTGCAAGAACAACTCATATTCTTTTTTTTTTTAATCTTTATTTTTTTATTGAGGTATGATTGACATACAAACATAGTTTCAGGTGTACAAAATAATGATTTGGTATTTATATATATGCTATAAAATGATCACTGCAGTAAGTCCAGTTAACATCTATCACCATACATAGTTACAGAATTTCTTTTTCTCATGATGAGATAAATCCCATTTTATCATTGGTGTTTGATCCTTTAAGTGTATTTTTGAATTTTGTTGCTGATGTTTTGTTGAGGATTATTGCATCTATATTCATCACGGATATTAGCCTGCGGTTTTCTTTTCTTGTGGTGTCCTTGTCTGATATCAGGGGAATGCTGGCCTTGTAAAATGAATTTGGAAGTATTCCCTCCACTTCTGTTTTTTGGAAGAGTTTGAGAAGTACTGGTGTTGATTTTCTTTGAATGTTGAGTAAAATTCACTTGTGAACTGTATTATTGATTTGGATAGGAAATAAGACGAGTTTAAATTAAAACTGGGAATTCACTTGCTGGTATGTTGGGGAAAATATGTTAGAATAGAAAATGTGGAATTTCTCTTTTTCAAAAACAAATTAAGAATGAAAATCTAAAAATATATCTTAAAATGCACACATAGTATTTAACACTTATTGGTCAGAATCAGGTTTCTACTTTATTTCCTCTGTGATTAGAGTATGTAGAGTATAGTACATACTCTAGTATGTGCTGTACATCAGAAACCAGAATTTGTTTGTTGTTCTCATTGGTTCTTTGTTTCTGTGATGCTTCAAGTGTTAGATTTAATTAAATAAGCATTTATATTAACACCATAGAAAACAGTATTTGAATTTTCTCTAAAATACGAATTCTTAATCTTTTTTGTATGTTGGACCCCTTTGGCAGTCTGAAGCCTACAAATTCCTTTTTGGAATGCTTTTATATGCTACAATAATACATATAAATACATATATATGATTAAAAACCCTATTACACTAAAGTACAGTTACCAAAATATTAAACTTGTGATATAATAATATAAGTGCTTCTTTATCAATGTGTTGAATAAGACCTAGCAACCATCTTAATAATTACCATAATTTCAAAGTAGTATTGAATTTAAAAGATATTGAGATATATGTAGCAACTACAATGTGATATGAACATGTCTGATATTTATTTTTGACAAAATCACAGGTACTTGTATGTAGTTTGTTGCCTATATTATATTTAGAGAAAATACTGAACTTCAATTAGAGGTTATTAGAAATAAAGATATAACTTCTTTTCCCATTGTTCACAGACCCCACCCACCCCTGGTCTAAAATTTTCCCCCAGACACATTCCAGGAAGCCAGATCTAATCCCCTGTATCTCAAGAGACTTAATTTTTGAGGAAAGTGGAGCTGAATCTTTTCCTTATTTAGCCCTTAATGCTTTTAATCCTTTAAAATAAGCAAATGGTTGGTTGTGAAATGCTGATTGTCAGTATGTCTTGCATTAGGAACTTGGCTTATGGCCACTAATTTTATAATAGATTACTGAAGAAATAGATATTTATAAAATCCATTTTTGTCATTTTATCTTAAAGTCAAATCAGAACATATGTGCTAATAGTTATGAGTGCTTTAGTTATGTCTTGACTTTGAGCTGCTATGGTCATATGTCATATGTTCCTTTGTCATTAAAGAGAAAATGTACCTCATGTGGTAAGCCCTAAATCATCTTTCTACTTTATGAAACTGGTATTGCTTGGTCAAATTTGTATGATTACCTTCTAATTTACTTTTTTTTTTTAAGATTTTTATTGGGAAATTGGGGAGTGAACAGCGTTGGGGAATCGGGGAAGGGGAACCGACAAGTTGCTGTCCTTTTGTTCTTCAGTCTAGTTGTGGAGGATGTCACTTCACTGGCCCATGTTGGTATTATCATTGCGTTCTTTCCGGCTGAGGCAGATCAGTTGCCGGCCATTGGACGGCTGCTCACGGCCGCTCATGTCAGCTGCTGGCTGCTCATGGTAGCTTACGGCAGCCCACTGCAGCCCCACTGCAGCCTACGCCATCGCCGGCGACTCAGGGTAGCCCAGCTCCAGGTCGNGGATGGGTGGATGGATGGATGGGAGGATGGGTGGATGGATGTTGTAAGCAGCCTCTTCAGGTTGCCCCCAGTGTTCCTTTCTTTTGGTAGTCATGCCCTTGTGTAATCCTTTTCCCTTTGAGTAAGGGCTGGACTTAATGACTCCTTCTAATTAATAGAATATGGCAAAAATGATGTCACTTTCAAAATGAGATTACAGAAAGATTGTGACATCCCCCTTGCACTTCCTCTGTGGCTCTCTTTGATGGCTTGCCTTGAGGGAATCCAGCTACCATGCTGTATGTAAGCTGTCCTAGGGAGAGGCCCATGTGGCAAGGAACTAAAAGCGGTTTTTGGACAATAGCCTGAAAAGAGCTGAATCCCGCCAGCAACAATGAGAGTGAGCTTGGAAGTGGATCTTTCCAATGTCTTCAAATGAGACCACAGTCCTGGCAGACGCTTGGTTGGTGCCTCATGGGAGACTGCCGTGGAGGGCCCAGCTAAGTCATGCCCGTATTCCCAGCCCACACAGACTGCGAGATACTGGTATTTCCTCTGCCTGAAATGCGGGCTTTTCCTGACCACCTTACGCCAAGGATATGCTAGCTCATACCAGCTCATGAGAGCCAATTGTATCTTTTCTCAAAACCATGTTCAGTGACTTCACATTAGTAGTTTAAAATTGGCATGTGTGAGTATTTACACCACTGAAATTGGCAAATACTAGAAATCATTATCTTTTTGTTTTTAAATTCTGGGGAGCCTGCTTACCAGCACACCAGTGGTCTTACCTGAAATTATCCTTTCCCTCCTCAGTCATAATCTATCTTATTGAACTTACTGCTTCTTGAAATGTCTATTTTTGTTTTTGTGGGTTTTTTTACTTCTGTCTTCTGTTACTTCGGCACACTCACAGTGAAAGCAGCATTGTTAATTGCCTGTCCACTGCTGTATCCCCAGGGCCTAGAATAGTGCCCAGCATATCAATAAGAACTAAATAAATGTTGAATTAATTGAATAAATGAATAACTCAAAAGTGATCATTTTAAACTGTATCATTCTCTTTAGAATTTTCTGGAACCATTAGAGAGAGGAAAAGAATTATGTTTTCTTTTTATAACTTTTTATTATGGAAATTTCCAAAGGTACAGAAAAGTGGATAAAACATCATAATGAATGTCCATGAACCCATTACCCAGCTTCAATAATGTTTTCAAGCCCCCACCTAACTTTTTTCCTGGAATATTTTAAAGAAGATTCCAGGCATCATATGACTTGAGTTACCTTTAAAAAAATTAATAACCAGTCCATATTCAAATTTCTGATTGTTTCAAAATGTCATTTTACATTTGATTTGAGCCAGGATTCTAACAAGTTTCATATCTTGCAATTGATTGATATATCTCTTAAGTCACTTTTAATTTATGAGTTCACCTTTTTTTTTAGTTTATGCCATTTGTTTGTTGAAGAACTCAGATATTTGTCAGGTGGAATTTGCCACATTCTGAGGTTGATGATCACATTTTTGTGGTGGTGTTTTCATGTCCCTCCTCTGTTTTCTGTGAACTGGCAGTTAGATTTAAAGGCTTGATTAGATTTAACTTCTGTTGTTTTAGTCCGGATATATCAAAGGTTGCACAGGATACTTTTCATTGTGTTACATTAGGAGATTGTGTTGCACCACTTTTAGTGATGTTAAGATTGATCTGTGAGTTCCAGATTACCCTGATCCATCTTTTATAAAGTTCTGCCTCAGCCTTTCACCTAATGGTTTTAGCAACCACTGATGGTCATTGGCCTAGATCCATTATTTTACTAGGGGTTGAAAATTGGTGATTTTATTTTATAATGAAGAGATTTTATTTATTTGGTTACCCTGAAATACAGCTGGTATAGGAAAGGAAGGATAACTGCTTGATTCTTTTACATTTATTATTTTTCAGAGTTATATGTTGTTTTTTTAGCAACTCTGCAAAAGTAACCAGATTTTTAAAATATTTTAGATATTTCACATATTTGCATTATTTATTTTTAGTGGTCATGTTATTCTATTTTTAGCCAGTGGGACCCCCTTCAGGTTGGCTCTTCTGTCCTTTGGCATGACCCAGGTATTTTGATAGCTTGTTTCCAATTTCCCAGGCTCAACTCATATATACCTATTTAAGTGTATAGAACTTTAAATTAATTTCTTTAATTTTTATATTTTCTCAATATTTAAAAATTTAAATGACATATGCATGTTTTTAAAATTCTCTTTATTTCTCTTCTACCAGACAATTGTAATTATATAACTTACACAATAAAGAACCAAAGTTAAGGAAGTGCTCAGATAACTTCAACATTATACTGTCTTAGGGAACCCAGTCTCTTTTCTTTTTTTCTTCATATCTGATTCACCCAATTCTTGTGGAGTATGTCTGGTAACATAAAAAGTATGTGGCAAGTGTTTGTACAAAAACAATACTTGGTTAAATGACCTAATGTCATTTGCAAAAGACCAGACAGCCCTGGAGGCAGAAAGTTTTTACTGCCAATATCAACAGCAACAATGTGGAAAGTAGCCCAAGACTAGCACAGTGCTGAGTAGTTAGTTACTCAATAAGTATTTTGGGTTTTTTCATCCTATATTTGGGTGACTTGAAGAGAGCCTACTAGGCTAGAATCCTGAGAATAGTGTTTCCAGAGGTCTTCATATCATTAAGAAAAGGAATGAACCGCCCCCCCCAAAAAAGAAAAAGAAAACGAACGACCCGTTTTTACTTAGAGATTTGTGTTTGCTCTTGTTGAAGAGGGAGCCACATTCTCCACGCACTGCTGATTGAGTGCTACCACTCTCAGATTAAAATTTGATTATGAAAATGGATTCTGTTAATGCAGAGACAACATACAGTTGTTGGTGCTGGTGCTTCTTCAATACCAATAAAAACTAACTTGTTTTACTTTATTTTCCAGATGATGGGCATAAGAGAGCCCGAAATGCATATCTCAATAATTCCAATTATGAAGAAGGAGATGAATATTTTGATAAAAACTTGGCACTCTTTGAGGTAATATTTGGGAGAAAACTAGGGAAGAGATTTCAGGAACAGAGTTTTCAAGATAGCTGTTTTCTACCCCATTTAGTTTTAAAACAGTACAGACTGGATAATCTAATAGCCAATTGTTAAAATATAATACTTATAACTTGTCATTGATTTAGTCTATATGATCTAATTATTGCTTATTAATGGGTAGCCATTAAATCAAATTTCTATGAAGTAAAGAAGAGGAAGTTGACATTACAGGCATATAGAGAACCTTGCTTTTCAATGATTACTTTGGAATTATCTTCTAAGTATAAAGTAGTATATTCTTTAATTCTACGTTTGGGAAGACCATCAATTACCTTCGAACTACTAACCAAAAATCAGTGTAGGAGAGCAGATTGCTGGATTTAGAGGACCTCTTTGTTTTTAGACAGTATGGGCTCTGCACCCCGGTTGTTGTTTGGCTTTGGACAGTGATGTAAGTGCCACATCTTTCAGTGTGCCTATTTTTTAAATGATATTTTCTCTCAGCTTCCTTCAAGTAAAGGTCTGAGGTGAATATTTAGTTCAATTACAGAAGTTTTTCGTTGACCTGTCCATTCTTGATGCTGTAAACAATAACCATAAATGTTAGTAGAATGTTAGTAGCCTAAAGAACGAGCGGGTAGTATGGTTAAAGATCATATCATCAGTGTTCTTTATGAGGTTACTGCTGTCTATAGGGCCAGTACGATTTAGCTTTTACTGTAAAGTTATTGGGAAGAATCATAAAACTTTTCATTTAAGAATTTATAAAGATTTGTGTAGCCCTGATTAAGTGTGATATCTTAATGGGGGAGAAAAACGTCTCATTGATAAATTTTCTTAAAATGTTTACCTGTGAAATATTTTCTCATTTACTTTGCAGTTTTCTGGTAGAGTGGTCATTTTGATGCTTATTTCTAGTGTGTTCTTCATCACTTATTTCTTCCATACTTCTGGTTTTATAGGAAGAGATGGACACCAGACCAAAGGTGTCTTCTCTCCTCAACCGCATGGCCAATTACACTAATTTGACTCAAGGAGCAAAGGAACATGAAGAGGCAGAGAACATCACTGAAGGGAAAAAGAAGCCCACCAAGGTGGGGCCTTAAAAAACAAGGATAAATAAAAAGAGCCCCATATGTAAGAAAGGAGGCAATACCCTGGGATTACTCTATGCTCAATAACTATTGAATGCTTGATACATGCCAGGCACTGTTCTGGGCACTGGGGTTAGCACAAACATTACATACAATGTCCCACTGTCGTGCAGTCTGAATTTTAGTGTGGGGACACAGTCCTGAAGGTGTTTTAACTATGTTAAAATATATACCATGTTAAGTGTTGATAAATGCTCTAAGAAAAATATAAGCAGGGTGAATAGACTGAGACTGGCCAGCAAGGAAGCCAGGGCCGAGGGCATTGCTATGTTACAGAGGTTTGTCAGGGCAAGGCCTTCTTCTGATAGGGTGATGCTTGAGCAGAGACCTAACTACTGTGAGGGAGAGAGTCATGTGATAGCTGGGAAAAGAGCATTCCAGTGAGAGGGAACGACACTTCAAAAGAAGAGTGTCCACACACGTCTGCTGATGCTGTCTGTCTCTTTGTTGTGAAGTTGTTGGGGTTTTCAAAAACCAAATACCAGGTTTTTTCTCAAGATGAAAATATGGAACAATATTACCAGTTAGCTTTCTGGTTGTTAAGGGGTAAAATGACCCTCAGATCTTTACCACCTACATTTACCAACTACTATGAAGAATTTATACCAAATTCTGAATATCAAGCCAGTATTCCATTTTTATTTATTTTTTTTAGCTGAGCCATCTTGCCACCTGTTGGCAGCTCAGTGGCAGCTCAGCTCGGGCCTGGAATCGAACCAGCGACCCTGTTGCTCTTAACCAAATGAGCCACTCGGCCGGCCCCCATTATCCCATTTTTAAATGAAAAGAGAAAACTAAAAGCTTTGAATAACAGAAAATGATAAGTTCTTTAGGTGTACTTAAAAATTTATTTGCCCATGTAAAAACATGTGGGGACCTATGAAACGTAAAAACGTAGCTGTAGGAATTATAAAAGGTATGGGGATAGACATTGTAAGATGGAGATATAATATGTGCCCCTTTTAAGATATTGCTTTGAGATTAATAAGGTAGCTCGGCAGCAAGATTTTATGTAAAAGTAAAGGGATAAAGACATCTCTTTTAGATGACTATGTAATTTTTTCTTTTGTCACCATCTTTGTTTCCAGACTCCCCAAATGGGTACCTTCATGGGTGTCTACCTCCCATGTCTACAAAATATTTTTGGAGTGATACTGTTTCTACGCCTTACATGGGTAGTGGGCACAGCTGGAGTTCTGCAGGCCTTTGCAATTGTCCTTATCTGCTGCTGCTGTGTAAGTCCTGAGGTGTCTCCTGGAACCTTGCGAGCACTCAAGAGTGTATGCACTGGACGTCTTTGGGAATAAAACAAACAATACTTGGCTTCATTTCAACAGGAGAGATTATTTTGATATTAAATTGAAAGGATTTTCGGTTATTTAGTGTCAGTTATTCACTGTTTATATGTATAATGTAATGTACTAGAAATTATAATGGAAGACTTCTACAGGAAGTAGAAGATACAGCCCACAGAGGATTCAGAATACACACCATTTGAGTTTGATAGCACCAAAGTTGTGAACGGAAAATGAGTTAGAAAATGGGATGCGCTGCACCAGTATAGTGTTCAGAAACAAAACTGATTGTTGTTTGGGGGTTAAGAGTATTTGTTTTGTTTTGAAGTCTCATCGGGTATCTCTTCCCCAGAAATTCAGATGTTTTTTCCAGGTCTTCTCTCACCCATACTGAGAACATTTTGATCTTCCTTTAATTTAAACTTCTTTTTATCTATATTTCCCAACCACATATGTCAATTTTATTATAAGTTGATAGATTTTTAAAATTATTTTATTCAATTATCAACTGACCTCTATTCTTTTTTCAATACTTTTTTTAAATTAAATTTATTGGGGTGGCATTGGTTAGTAAAATTATATCGGTTTTAAATGTACATTTCTATAACATCATCATCTATATATTGCATTGTGTGTTTACCACCCATAGTCAGTTCTTCCATCACCATATATTTAATACCCTCTGTGTGCATTGTGCTTAACTGAGTACCGTACAGAGCAGGGTAAGCAGTCGTAGTCCATATCACTAGCAACTTAAAATTAATGGTACCATCTTTTATTTTTTCACTTTCTTAGTTTTGAAACTCCAGGACAATGTTTGGCTCCCTGATTGCCTCTCACATCCAGTCAGCTACCAAGGCCAATCATGTCTCCCTCTGAAATCTCTTACATTCAGCCCTTTCTTTATATTTCCACTTCTACCACTGCAGTCCTTAAACCTCTCACTGAACAACCATAATAGCCTACTACCAAGTCATTCTGCCTCCATCTACTCCCTATCTGCAGTCCATTCTGTACCTTACTACCAGGTAATGTTTTTAAAATACAGTTCTTAATGAGCTCAGAAGTCTTCAGTGGTTTCCTTCTGTACGGAATATTGTTCTTGTTATTGTAGCCAGTCTTTATTCAGCTTCTAATCTGTTTTCCAAGTTGTTTTAACTCTTGGGTTGTCAGAAAAGTCATGATGCATTTTTGCAATGAAAAACATAGAAAAAATACTTCATGACTTTTCCGAGAACCCAATAGGAAACAGGGAGAGATCAGTGGTTCTTAATAGCACCTAACCTACTGATTACGAGGTAGGGGCATGTTAACAGAATACTCCAAGTAGTAGTAGTGTGACTAATGTAATGAGTTGAACCACATCACCTCATTTTCATACCTTAGGTGTGACAGGCAACTCCCTCCATAAAAGTAGATGGAGGTAAATATTTGATAAGGCCTCTGAGGTCCATAAATGGGAAAGTAGTACAGAAATGTCCTTTCCATGCAGTAACCATCTTCTCCCTTCCCTTTCTTTACAGACAATGTTGACTGCCATCTCCATGAGTGCCATTGCGACCAATGGAGTAGTGCCAGGTCAGTAGGCTAAGACTGACTTCAGAGACTGTCAGTGATTACTGTATGTTTATGCTGTAAAGCCAGAGGTGCACACTTCTAAGGAATAGAATGCTATTTAGTCTGTTGGCCATAGATACTAATACAATTTGACTTTAGAATAAATACCTTCATTAAAAATCTCTTTATGTTCTAGGCTAGAATCTTTCATTTCCATTGCATTCTTCGATTCTTTTACTTAGAATATATATATATTTATATTTATATAGTTATTTTTTTCTTAAAATTTTATTGGGGAGCTATGTTTTTCTGGGACACATCAGCCCCAAGTCAAGTAGTTGTCTTCAGTCTAGTTGTGGAAGGTGCAACTCAGTGGCCCATATGAGGATCGAACTGGCAACCTTGGTGTTAGGTGCACTGCACTCTAACCAACTGAGCTAACTGGCCTCCTCATACTTAGAATATATTTTATTGGGCGATTTCATGCCTGTAGTAAATATTCTCTGACATTTTTCTAATAGTGACAAATTGTGCTGCTTCTGTGGAGCATTAGTTGTGCAGTATAGCCTACCATAAAGGTTTCAGCTTTTACTTCGCACTAGCAAATCTACAGTTGATCACATTCATCATTTTCAAAAGCCTGAAACATTTATCCTTCATGCATATTTTTATTCTTCTTATGATTTGTTTATATTCCTCTTTCTAATGTACATTCGTTATCCTGACCACATTCTATTTTTGTCTCTTAGCTGGAGGCTCATACTTTATGATTTCCCGAGCACTGGGCCCAGAGTTTGGTGGGGCTGTTGGCCTCTGCTTTTATCTCGGTACCACATTTGCAGCAGCTATGTATATCCTTGGTGCCATTGAAATTTTTTTGGTGAGTAATGACTTCATTGTGTTTTACAATGTAGAAAACATGGATTTGGATTTATTTTGTTGTTTGATATCAAATCTGAGAGATCAGGTATAGGAGTCAATCAAGTGATTGGCTGTAACAGGCATACCTCGTTTTACTGCACTTCACTATATTGTGTCTCACTATCGCATTTTTCAGACACACATGGGCCTCCTAGTGTGAATAGGAAGCAGAAAGTTTGAGGGCACCCTTTGCTTGCCTACTCCTTTCCCTCCATCCAATCACTACCACCCTACCACCTCAACCAAGAAGTTAAAGTCTCCGGGGAAGACTTGTGCTAATGGGGAAAAAGTGAAATAAAGTTATCTTTTTTGGTATCTTTATCCCAATGAAATAAAATGTTTTTCATTTTTTAATTTATTCACTGGGATATATTTTTTACTATTTACACTAATGACAGCAGAAGTAGGATCCAAGATAATTGTTACATTATTTTATATAATCCTTTGAATAAGTTATAATACATTCCTTGTTTTTTCCATTTGGAAAGATAGATAATCAGAGAATCATGTAGACTTAAAAAAAAATCAATGATATCCCATTTCTGTAGGCATTCTAGGTCCTATGGAATTAGGCTAAGTCCCCAGCCATTTTCTGTCTCAGCTTTGCTTTCCTTTGTGAAGGCAAATGCAAACTACAACATCCTTTTACTTGATTACTTTGAAATTACCTCATTTTCTACTTCTTTTGCTTAACAGGTATATATTGTCCCCCGGGCTGCCATCTTTCGTAGTGATGATGCACTCAAGGAATCAGCAGCCATGCTAAATAACATGCGTGTCTATGGCACAGCCTTCTTGGTCCTCATGGTATTGGTGGTATTCATCGGCGTACGCTATGTGAACAAGTTTGCCTCACTCTTTCTGGCCTGTGTCATTGTGTCCATCTTGGCCATCTATGCTGGAGCCATTAAGTCGTCTTTTGCCCCTCCACACTTCCCGTACGTGTCTGTCTCTCTGATTAACCATTATTACTCGGTAGTCACTGACAATATCTGATGATGTGATCATTTCAAGTCAGAATTTCACAGCCTCTCTGAGATTTTCCTTTTGGATAAGCCCAGTTAGCATCTAGGCAGGAAGCCTCCCAGTAAACTATGTCATGTTGATCCTCTTTCTTATGTTCCAAGCATAGAACTGGCAGCTGTAACCATCATTTGGATATAGATATTGCGGTTTTTCAAAACCCTCTGATAATGATTGTGCGTATTTGAACTATTCATGAAGGGCTTTGCATACAGTATAGTTATTGTCAGCAACCTTTATAAAGTATTTAAATGTTGAATTCCTTTTATTAATGAAAAATCAAGAGAGTCAAATGAAACCTAAACTCCTACCTAAATATTTGTAATTCATTAAATTTTTAATTCCGTTAGTAGCATAATGGACTTCCTACTCCTATAAAATAAAGAAATTAATGTCACATCATTTGGATTTCTATCTATCTGTGTATATTTTATGCCATGAGTAGTGCAGGTGCCTTGAAGGATATTTTTTGAAGTAGTAATGCATTTGTACAGATCTGTGACCACAGGCTCACCTGTTTTCCATTTGACTAGTGGCCTAGGGACTGATCAGTGCTGAGTGTTGTTTGTAACCTTAGTGTAAGGATTGTCTTTGAAATGTCATCTGGATCATCCGGGGGTCGAACTCATGAGTCCTGTGTTGATTTAACCTGATTACAGAAAGGTAGATTTTTCAAGATGAAAAATCAGGTCCATAAGATGACTTGCCCCAAAGTTAATTAATGGCAAGAGCAAGAACACGAACCCTGTGATTTTTCTTACTCCAGTGTTTCTTCCACTATGATAAACGATGTCAGCAATAGATTCCATCATAAATTTTTAGTCTGCTCATCTAGTGGCTGCAAACGAGCCAGAGATTTATTTTAGAGTCATACAAATACTAAGGTTGCATTCTGGCTATTTCTTAACTTGGGAAATTCCATTTTGTCCCCAGTTCTCTGTTGATGCTTCTCTTTTTTTTTTGGTGAATAAAAGGTCATGATGTGTGATATTTTTTTAAAAATATTCCAGCAAAACAAGAATAAAAACCTAGAGGAATGCATGAAACAAGACTGGGAAACACTGAGAGTTGTTGAAGCTGAGTGATGGGCCCATGGTTGCTTATGTATATATGCTATCATTTTGCAGATGTAAAAAGTTGTTTTGTTTCTCTTCAGAGGTATTTTAACTGTGGGTGTATTATTCCTTTGTTCTTATTTATATCTCTGGGTTAAAGAAAAAAATAAAATCAGCAGTGAATATTTGTACTAGCCTTAAATACCCTCACTCCCACTGGGTCTAGGCTTAAATTCAAAAACAGTTTTCTCTTAGGCCACAGAAGTATCTGCTTTTTAATTCTAGCCAAGCTGTCTTCCTCCAAATAGTAGCCAGAAGGTTTGACCTTTGGCATAACATTTTCAAGTGGTTTGTTATGAACATAAGGCTTTTCTAGGCCAAAAATAAAATTAGGGAAATTTTTGTTGTTGTTGTTAGAACAAAAGGACTCTAGAATTCTTTTAGAGCTAACAATAGGTTATAACCTAGAAATTTTGGAAAATGAGTCAGCACGAATTCTATCACTACCATTTACCATCTGTATGACTTCAGGCAGACACTACTTTTATCTCCCTAAAATTCAGTTCCTCCATCCACAAAATCAAAATACTATATACGTATTTTGTGAGATCACTGTAAGGATGAAATTGGCAGAAAATGTAAGTCACCATTTACAGAGCTAGTCAATATTTGTTTCTTTCCCATCCAAGACAGTAGAAACTCTTAGAGATAAGATTTTTTTTTCCTTTACTAACCGATTTATTATTTACTAACCTATTGCTAACCTATCTTCTTTTTTTTTTAATCTTTTTCCCTTGCTTCATCTTTCTCCCTGTGTGTTTTTACTTAGGGTCTGCATGCTGGGTAACCGCACCCTGTCATCAAGACACATTGACGTTTGCTCTAAGACCAAGGAAATTAGCAACATGACAGTGCCGTCCAAGTTATGGGGCTTCTTCTGTAACTCAAGTCAGTTTTTCAATGCCACCTGTGACGAATACTTTGTTCACAATAATGTCACTTCAATCCAGGGCATTCCCGGATTGGCTAGTGGTGTCATTACAGGTAAGTTAGGAGACTTTTGGACACGTTTTTCCTTTTTTCTCTAGGGAAATGGGCTCTGCCATCTTTGGCTCTTCTATAGTTCATCAAGACTCACTGCAGGTGCCACTTGCCCTCTTAAGCTCAGCGTACAGCTCTTAAACCAACATCTTTCTGCTTTTCTGTTAGTGAATTTATCCTTTTTCAGGACTCCCTGCAGTGTTGTCTGCTAAAAATTACCTCCGTTTGAGAGCAGAGCTGAGCAAATCACTTTTTAACCTATGATAATAAAATATTCTTTGTGTTATTGTGAAATTGCTAATGTTCTTCCTGCAGTGACAGCTAGAATGGAACTATTTTAATGTCACCACATCTACATGTGTGTTTTCCTAACTCAGCTAAATTTCTAAATTTCTTTCCTTAAGTGACGTCCGTTTTAACTGTTAGGGCCACAAATTTCTTTGCATGTAAGCAAGTTTACACTAAGGTGTTAGAAACAGCATTGATAACTTAAAAAAAAGGCTTTGCAGGGCATTTGGCATTAGTCAAGGACTTAAGTTTTACTAATTTGCGTTAGTAGACCTAACTGCATTTGTATGTACCATAACATTTTGTCAAATTATATTTGAAAGGGCATTAGTTTTTATTTATGCGTGCTTTATTGTACAATATGTATGTGTATATATGTGTGTGTATATAGAAACAAACATACCTTTAAAAACTATATATATATATTGTCTGACTTAGAAGTTTATTTAGGTAGAAAATTACCAATTATCCTCTTCCCATATTGCTGATTATATCCCCCTTTTTCCCACTGCAGAGAATCTTTGGAGTAATTATCTACCAAAGGGAGAGATCATTGAAAAGCCTTCAGCCAAATCTTCTGATGTTTTAGGCAGCTTAAACCATGAGTATGTCCTTGTTGACATCACCACCTCCTTCACTCTTCTGGTGGGCATCTTCTTTCCCTCTGTCACAGGTAAGCTGTTGGGCTGTTGTCTATTGCAGAAGCTATCAGACCAAACGAGTGAGTTTCTCCAAGAAACAGAATTATAGTCTCAGAGTTCCTAGATTTGCTTCTAGTCTTTGGTGTCAGTATGAATCTCAAAATGTCCAGGAACTCAAGAAGTTAACTTGTTCTTTTTTCCTTTTCTAAAGGTATCATGGCTGGATCAAACAGATCTGGAGATCTGAAAGATGCTCAAAAGTCTATTCCCATTGGCACTATCCTTGCCATCCTGACCACCTCCTTTGTCTGTATCCTTTTCATGGACCCAGCCTGGGTCTTAGTCATGGGAACATCAAGTAGAATTAGGGTGATCAGTATTTTTATTCTGGTAGTAAAGATACCTGCTTTCTACCACCATACTTCTCACCAGGTAATCTACCCCCATCTTTTAAATTCAAGAAAGGATTTATAGAATGAGTGAACTTAACAACTCATTTTATTGATGGAAGAAATATCTGAGCAATGTTTCTGTCTCCTCTCTGATGGTGAACGTCAGTTTCCTTGACTCTCAGTATGTTAGATTTAAGCAACGTTGTCCTTTTTGGCGCCTGTATTGAAGGCGTTGTTCTCAGAGACAAGTGAGTAGTTGATTTCTTTGTGACAATTATGTGCCTGTCTTCCATTATGTCTGATCACCCCACATAGCCCCAAGACAGTTATAAACTTAAAACCCAACCTGAGGTATCTACTTTGACTAACAGTTAGAAAATATATGTACAGTATATAGTTCCCCAAAAGGCTAGTGAATAGTACGGGCCAGTATGTTGTTATAAAATATGTGAGATGTAGTGAATATAGCTTTTCAACATAGAGGTGAATTTGCATGAATAATGAGGACTTCCCTGTACTTTAAGAGCTGTTGGAAAACTAAAACCAAAAGTAAAGGAAGGCAAGTAAAAATAAATAACTTTCAAGTATCTCTAGCATCTCCTCCGTGAAGTATGTATCTGTTGGGCATTCTAAATAAAAGCTTGAAACTTACTTTCTTCATTTCTTTCATGAAGGCTGCTGAGTGTTTTTCCTTTCTTCTCACCTGTGCATATAAAATATATTTTCGAAAGAAATTCCTAGAAAAATCTTTCCCTGAAACCTGCTATATCTCTTCCCATTTCCCCATCTTGGGGACTTAATAACCTTACCATTCACCCCTTTCTCAAAACAGAAATCTATCATCCTAGACTTTTTCTATCAATTCCCTTATCCAGTTAGTTTCTAAGCACTGTCAATTCTACCTTTCACCTTAATTGATCTCATTCTTTCCATTCTTTATCCTTATCATTTTGTACAGGGCCTCAGGATCTTTTGCCTAGATTATTGTAATCATCACCTTTGCAGTTTTACCACCTTCTAATTCTTCTTCCATGCTGCCATCAGAATGATTTTTCTGAAACACAAAATTTGATCGTACAAATCTTCCTGCTTCAGAGCCCTCCAAAGCCCCTAAAGACCCACTAGGGGCTTTCCTAAATGAAAGCTTGAATTAGGGTGATCAGTATTTTTATCCTGGTAGTAAAGATACCTGCTTTCTACCACCATACTTCTCACCAGGTAATCTACCCCCTTCATCTTTAAAAATCCAAGAAAGGATTTATAGAATGAGTGAACTTAACAACTCATTTTACTGATGGAAGAAATATCTGAGTAATGCTTCTGTCTCGTCTCTTTCTGTCTACCTCTTTCTAATCCCATCTCCCACCATTCCCTTATAAACTCTCTCTGCTCCAGCCATAACTCAAAGTTAAATGTGCCTTGTTGTTTCAGATCTCCATCTATCCACACATTTGTTTGTGTGGTTTCCTTTGCTTAGAATGGGTTATAATGACTTATCTTCTAAGACTAGACTAAGTGTCTTCTATCCTGTGAAGCTTTCCCAGACTCATCCCAACACGAGCACTCCTCCCTTTGTTCAACCACCGTATTGAATATACTTTATCATGGCACTTACCATACCGTAGTGCAGCTACTTGTTTTCATAACACTCTCCCCTACTAGAGTGAGTTTTTTGAGGACAGGAACCCTAATATAGGCTTACCTCATTTTATGGCATTTCACTTAATTGCTCTTCACAGATACTGAGTTTCGTTTTGTTTTACAATTTGAAGGTTTATGGCAACCTTGCGTAGACCAACTCTGTCAGCGCCATTTTGTCAACAGCATCTGCTCACTTCATATCTCTTGTGTCACATTTTAGTAATTCTTGCAATATTTCAAACTTTTTCATTATTATATTTGTTATGGTAATCTGTGATCAATGATTTCTAATGTTGCTGTTGTAATTGTTTTGGGGTGCCTCAAGCCATACCCATATAAGACTGTGAACTTAATCGATGAATGTCATGTGTGTTCTGACTGCTCCACTGACCAGCAGTTCCCTCATCTCTTTCCCTCTCCTCAGGCCCCCCATTCCCTGAGACACAACAATATTGAAATTAGGCCAAATGATAACTCTACAGTGGCCTATAAGTGTTCAAGTGAAATGAAGTCACATGTTTCTCACTTTTGTTCAAAAGCTAGAAATGATTAAGCTTAGTGAAGAAGGCATGTTGAAAGCCAAGATAAGCTGAAAGGTAGGCCTCTTGCAGCAAACAGCCTAAAGTTATTTCCAGATTAAATTTCCCGACTCTTATTTCTCTCCCAGGTTTGGGGATGCTGTGAAAGGTAATCTGGTGGTGGGTACCTTGTCTTGGCCGTCCCCGTGGGTGATTGTCATTGGCTCCTTCTTCTCCACCTGTGGGGCTGGACTTCAGAGTCTCACAGGTGCACCGCGGCTCCTGCAGGCTATCGCCAAGGATAACATCATACCCTTCCTGCGAGTGAGTGACCCTTTCCCATGTCCTTCCCCTTTTCCTTAGGTCTTAGGAGAAACAGCATGGTCTTCGTACGCTTAAGAGTTACTAGATCTATATTATGAAGACATCTGAGTTTTAGTGTAAGACTCTAAATTCCTAGTATGAATTTATACGTGAGTTGGGTAAAGGTGTTTAAAAGGTAGCACCATTGCAGCACTGTTATCTTTCCGATGTCTGCAACTGGAGCGTAGAGGAATCAGGGAGCACTGACTCAAACACTCCCCACACTCCTGTGTCTGATATTTCTCTTCTATGTACAGGTTTTTGGTCACAGCAAAGCCAATGGGGAACCTACGTGGGCTTTACTTCTGACTGCGGTCATTGCAGAACTGGGAATCCTGATCGCCTCCCTGGATCTCGTGGCCCCAATTCTCTCCATGTAAGAGCCAGTTACTGGCTTCACTTATTCTTGCTTATGTGATGTGTAATACGTGTTGATTTCCATCAGGCATATAACAGTGGTGATAACAGCAGCGTTAGCCAAGTACAGGTGTAACGTCATCTAAATAATGTAAATCTTCCTGAGAAGTTTCACTTAAGGCTAATTGTCACGGTTTCTCCCCAACTATATAACTTCAAATGTTCTTTGCCTTCATTTCTGATCATCATCAAGAGGTTATAACTTTTACTACTACTATTAGCTTTTATTCACTCAGCTGTGACTTACTGATGGCGTACTACCTACCTGACAGGTGGCAGTATGCTGGGAATACAAAGATGAATAAGGCACAGTCTTAAAGAGTTGATGGTAGATGAAGAAAGTAACGATCCCCGTGTGGGTGATGAATACTGTGGTAAAGGTACACAGTGAGTGCTATAAGTGCCCTTAAGTGAGGCATCAGAATGTACTGAGACTCAAGAAAGGTGTTCTGGGGGCTGGCCGAGCAGCTCAGTTGCTTAAGAGTGTGAGCTCTGAGCAACAGGGTCGACGGTTTGATTCCCAGATGGGCCAGTGACGCTGCACCCAAGCTGAGCTGCTGCTGAGATGCCAACAGGTGGCAGGATGGCTCAGCTGTTGAGAGCACATGCTCCTCACAACAAGGTTGCCACTTCAACTCCCGCATGGGATGGTGGGCTACGGCGCCCCCGCAACTAAGACTGAACACGGCACCTTGAGCTCAGCTGCCCTGAGCTGCCACCAGGAGGCTGGAAGGCTCAGTTATTAGAGCATGCATTCTTAGCAACATGGTTTCTGGTTCAACTCCTGCATGGGATGGTGGGCTACACCCACCCACAACTAAGATTGAACACGGCACCTTGAGCTGACCAGCCATGAGCTGCTGACGGGCAGCCGGATAGTGGCTGGACTTGGAGCTGAGCTAGCTGTGCCCTCCACAACTAAGACTGAAGGACAACAACTTGGCTGTTCCCCTTCCCCAATTCCCCAATAAAATCTGAAAGAAAGAAAGAGAGAGAGGGAGGGAGAGAGGGAGGAAGCGGGGGGAAGAAAGAAAGAAATAGGTGTTCTGGGGGAAGTGACACTTGTATCTTGGAGGAGTGGTTACTTGTTTGCTAAGCAAGAGAGGGTTGAAAGATACTGGGCAGGGGAAGTGTGTGATGGAGTTGAGGGATGAAATAATGCAGCACATCCAAAGAGCTGAAAGCAGTTTGGCTTTGACAGAGTGAAGGGTACGTGCTGGGGAGCAGCACACCAGAGAAGTAGGGAGAGCCAGATCACAAAGGACCTGGAACTTTTACCTGGAAGTGGGGTGTAATCCTTTGAGCACAAAATGATTTTGTTTTAGAATGATCAATTTGGTATACAAGATAGATTACAAGGAAGCTAAAATTGAGCTGGGAGTGCCAGTTGGAAGCTTATTTAATCTGGCAAAGAATCAATGAGAACCTGGACTAAGGCGATAGAGGTGGAGATTTTTAAATATGCAGAACCCATAGGACATGATAAATGAATTGGAACAAGGATGAGTAATGAAGAAGAACACCTGGGTGAGGAGTGGTTGTGTCATCGCTGAAAGAAAACAGAGGAGGGTGAGTAGGTTTGTAGGGAGAAAATTATGTTTCTGTACTTCCTAGTCTTAATCAAAAGCTAGTGAGTTAGATAGAACAAAGGCTTCAAAACAGCAGAGGTCCCAGTTATTTAAAAAAGCCCTTGAAGAATCATTTTACAATAATATTCCTCTTTTTTTATTCTGCCAGGTTTTTTCTCATGTGTTACCTCTTTGTGAACTTGGCTTGTGCCTTGCAAACATTACTTCGAACACCCAACTGGAGACCACGGTTCCGCTACTACCACTGGTAAGCCTAATTTGCTTCTTTTTCCCCATATTCGGAGAGAATCCATCATTGAACTTAGAAAACTAGGACATTCTGTGTTCTTGATACAATTTTTTTTCTTGGCCAGCTTTTTCAACTTTCAATGCTAATCTGAATTCCCAACCTACCACTGTGTTTTTTCATTATTGCTTTCTAATAACTGATAGCACTTACTTGAGAATAAAGATCAAAACTGTGAAATAAATATTTCCATCCTGCTACATTCTTAGGTTGAAACAACCTTCCCGTTGTATATCTCTTTCCCATTTCCCTCTTAGCTAAGCACTGGAGCTCATTGCTTTCTGTCTTTGCTCTCATATTCTCACCAGCTTCATTCTTAAACCTCTTCCTTATGACAGTTTCATTTAGTAGGTAAGAGTGTAAGCTTTGGAGTCAGATGACCTAAGTCCAAATGTCAGCACTACTGTTTCCTAGCTTTGCTACCTTCAACAAAGCACATAACCACAAAAATTTCATCTTACTCATTTGTGAAATAGGACTACTACTATTACCTGTCTCATGAGCTTGTTTTGAGATAATCTGAAGTGCTTAGCACGGTGCCTGGTACATGGTAAAGCTCTCAACGAAATGTTAACTACAGCTGCTGCTGTCATGTTTAAGTCTCCCCAGTCTAAAGGAGCCATCATGTTTTTATC